TGCATCCGTTCCTTTTTTTTTTTTTTTTTTTAAGATTTTACGCATTTGAAAGAGTTACAGAGAGAGGCAGAGACAGAGAGAGAGGTCCTCCATCCATTGGCTCACTCCCCAGATGGCTGCAATAGGAGCTACATGGATCCAAAGCCAGGAGCCAGGAACTTCTTCCAGGTCTGCCATGTGGGTGCAGGGGCTTAAGGACTCGGGCCATCTTCTACTGCTTTCCCAGGCCATAGCCGAGAGCTGGACTGGATGAGGAGCAGCTGGGACTAGAACCAGCGTCCATATAGGATGCCAGTGCTACAGGCCAGGGCTTTAACCCGCTGTGCCACACCACTGGCCCCTTGTTCCTTCTTTACAGTCATATAATTTTAGGCATGACACTTAAATTCCCCGACTTTCAATTATCATTTATGCAAAAGAATCAGGGTATCTCACTGAGTGACTGTGAGTACCATGAAAAAAAAATGAAAGTGCCTGGTAGAGGGTGTTTCCCATTGAATGTCACAGTTTCTGTGGAGATTCCTTCCTACACTGGGATGCTTCATTTGCCAGTTGCAGTGAATTAGTCTTATCCCTTTGTAACCTGTTACTGCCCTCTGAACACCAGAAGGAGATGACAACTTAGGGAAGTTACTCTTTCAAATCCCAATTAACATATTTCTTCCCAATAGCTGATTTTAACAATAATTAGGAAAACTTACCAAGTCTGTATAGGGTTATTCAGTCCAGCAAACATTTACTAAGTGTGCCAGAAAGTAGGTAGAGACTAAACTAAACAAAAGATGCATAAGAAACCTGGGGGATCTCAGCAGGCTCCAAGATGGTGGAATAGGGAGGGAGCGCACTGATAGTTCGGGAAAAGACAGTTTAATAAAAGTGGAGATACTGTAGTTTCAGGGAAGAGTTAGGGAAAAAACTGCAGAGGAAACTCTTCCGGAACTAGTGGGACATGGTGGACCTACGTGCAAGGCACAGGCACCCTTGGCTCGGGACCCCAGCCGCCAAGTCTACACACCAGCGCTGGAAAGGGAGGTGAGGCGAAACCTTAGTAGCCAGAGACACTGGTGGGAAAGCGGCAGGAAGAGCCTAGAGGGAACAAGGCTTGAAGCCCCATGGGGGAAAGTTCACTAGGCTAACTGGAGGAGAGAGAAAAAAAAAAAAAAAAAAGGATCAGTACGGACATGATTCTCACTCTCTACTCAAGTACAAAGGTGAGCAAGACAAAGAGCAGGCGCCATTTTGGGCATATGTAACAGCACAGGGCTGCGCCCGCCCTCAGCCAAGCAGAAAAACCTGATTCTGGTGGGGAGCAATAACAGGAGGTTAAGACCTAGCAAATGCGGCCGGCGCCGTGGCTCAATAGGCTAATCCTCTGCCTTGCGGCACCAGCACACCGGGTTCTAGTCCCGGTTGGGGCGCTGGATTCTGTCCTGGTTGCCCCTCTTCCAGTCCAGTTCCTGCTGCACAGGGAGTGCAGTGGAGGATGGCCCACTTAAATGAAAGATCTCTGCAAGTGAGATCCCAGTGGACAGAACAGGCCATCAAAGAAGGAGGTACCTTTCCTCTTAAGGGAGGAAAGAACTTCCACTTTGACTATGACCTTGTCTAAATAAGATCGAAGTTGGCGAACTCAAAAGTTTCCTTAGCCTTGGCAACCCATGATAAGAGCCTAGGGTGATCACTGACGCCATCAACAAGAGTGTCAATTGTTAAGTCAACAACATGAGTCACTGTGCACTTACTCCCCATGTAGGATCTCTGTCCTTAATGTGTTGTTCTATGTGAATTAATGCTATAACTAGTACTCAAACAGTACTTAATACTTTGTGTTTCTGTGTGGGTGCAAACTGTTGAGATCTTTACTTAATATATACTAAATTGATCTTCTGTATATAAAGAAAATTGAAAATGAATCTTGATGTGAATGGAATGGGACAGGGAGCGGGAGATGGGAGGGGTGTAGGTGGGAGGGATGTTATGGGGGGGGGGAAGCCACAGTAATCCAAAAGCTATAATTTGGAAATTTACATTTATTAAATAAAAGTTAGAAAAAAGATTCAACAATATCCCTAGAAATGAATACTCCCCTGAGAAATAGATACCTGCTAACTAGTGACTGCCCTACATAAATCTATGCTAATAATTATGGTACATATAAATTGTTAGGAGGAAAAATATTTTTTAAGAAAGAGAAACAATCTGTTTTAGGTTCACCACAATTTTTAAAAACACAGAATCGAGAATATTGATTTAGCAAACATTAATTAAAGACCTACTGTGTGTTGGATATTACAGTAATTGCTGACAGAAAAAAAGGTGAATGGGGAGGGGAAACTCCTACTTAATAAGCTTAGAATGTAATTTATGGTTATTTACAGTTCAAGAAGATAACTAGTACATTCTAGGAAGACCAACTTCCCCACTAGATAAATGCATATACAAATGCTTCCTTGTGTTACAGGATCCTTTCTACATTTAATCTTATAGTATATTTACTTGATATAAAATAAAATAAAATTTAAAAAATTTTATTTCCTCTCTTTCCCATGTAAAACTATGCATACTGTATAAGAATCTTGAGTATACAACAGATAAGACCAAGGGTCAATGTCTAGAGAAAGGCCAGAGGCTACAACGCTGGATTCGAGGGACCGGCAGTAGGAAATTCCATTAAAGCTGAGTCCTGGTGACATGGGCTAGGCAGGCAGATAGCTAGATATGCTGAGCCTGAGGTGGCTACAGGCCATAAGCTTCCACCGGGGGAATAATGCAAATAATGCAGCCCTACTTGTAACTAAGAACTGCCCCTTTCCAGGATGTCACCTTCACCTGAGACCTGGGTGGGGAGGGAGGTACCATCTGATAGCCACTCCCATCCAACCTCATAAAGGAGGCCAGCAGTTAGGAGGGGCTCCTTTTCTCTCTCACCAGAGACCAGAGTACAGGAGGCAATGAAGTGCCATCTCTCTCTACTGCCCCTCCCACACTCCTTACCTCCTTCTGACCCACTTCCCACTACTCACCTATGCTCACATATGTGTGTGTTCACTTTTTCAGCTTCTGAATTAAATTCATGTCATATATGCCAGCATTAAGAATTCATCTCTATGCATGGCAAGGACCTGTAATAAAAAGTAGATCCCATTTCCCCCACTTCAAGGGGAGGAAGATGAGGTCACAACAGCCTATCTGGGAGGCAGTGTTACTGATGGCAGTGGGGAAGAGGCTACCGACTGTGTTTGCTGTATTACAACATGGAGTTTCCTGAGTTTTTATTACACTGCGTCAAGAGGACTTACAAAATTGCTAGTGTAAATGTGGAAAATTCTTGTCTATTAAATTCAAAGGTTTTCTCAGGAATAATACATACTAATGAGTAGACACTATATAATAAAGTATTGCGACTTGGAGAGGCAGGTGCACTCTTAATAGTATTTCTTTTTATGTCTTATTATACTGTCTAAAAGATACTTGGAAAGGATACAGTCATATTATGTATGTTAGGAGTTGTTGTTGTATGAAGCTGATGAAAATTGCTAATGCTGCACTCCAGTCCAATTAAAACAATGATGGCAAATGTGGCTGTCAGTCATTTGTAGGCGACACTATGGTGTGGAAGAAAGGATACTATCCTTGCATTTAAACCACAGCTGCAGTGACAAGAATGACAGGTGTGAGGGAATGACTAGCTCCAACCACCACAGGCTTCCTTTCTCAGAGATTTCCAACTTCTCTCCTCTTCAACAGTACCATTACCCTATTTCTGATAGCAGAGGGTAGAAAGCATTATTCAACAAAATACTTTTCAACTTGGTTGCATTGATACTTTATACATGGGGCCAGCACTGTGATGTGGTGTGTAAAGCTGCCATCTATAGTGCTGGCATCCCATATGGGCACAGATTCAAATCCTGGCAGCTCCACTTCCGATCCAGTTCTCTTGCTATAGCCTAGGAAAGCAGCAGAAGATGGCCCAAGTCCTTGGGTACCTGCACCTGCGTGGGAGACCCAGAGAAAGCTCCTGGCTCCTGGCTTCAGATTGGCTCAGCTCTGGTCATAATGGCCATTTGGGGTATGAACCAGCAGAGAGAAGGCCTCTCTCTCTCTGCCTCTGCCTCTCTGTAACTCTACCTTTCAAATAAAGATGACGCTAAAGAGGTTGCTGGCAACACAAGGTATTACTGCAATCTTACAGGAATTGTGTAAAAAGGTACAATATGCAGCTAGCAAGAGACCTCTATCATATAAAGTAAAACATGAAAACCTATTGGTTCTTGCATTTTATTCCTGTCATGGCTTCTCTTTCACTGACAACATCTATATGCTCTTACTTACTTTCAATTACAAATATGAATCAGTTATCTATTGCTCTTTATTTTCTTCTTTATGATAAATTTGAGTGTTGCAATAAGAATATGAGGAGTTTGTATGCTTAAAGAATCTCCTCTTCAAATTTTCATGACTGTTTTTCTTTATGTTAATTCCATATTGAGCCATATCAAATAATTACTGAATGGTGACTAAAAGATTAATCTGTACCAATTAAAAAATAGGAAAATTTTATTTCCTTTACTGAAAAGAATTTACACTAAGAATCCAAAAACAGCAGCACAGCTTAAAAGGAAACAAAATAAGTGTAAAATCACCTTGGTATATTTAGGCAATTATTTTTAAAAGCTGAATTACTTAGAAGCAACCTAGAGGAGAATATCAGAGTACTAAGTGCTTCTAAAAGCTTCATCATGTATATCTCCATGACCCTGGTCCTGTACCCCTCTTCCACCCAAATTCCTCTTCCATACCTTATATTTAAGCTACTCTATGAAAGAGGCCTGACTTTTTTGCACTTTTTGTACCCAGTACTTATTTTGCATTCAGTAAGTATTCACTGAAGAACATTCAAGAACTAAAACAGAGGGAGGGACTTGGTAACAACAGCAGTGCTTTGTCGCACTGGGGCAATATGAACAACAGAGCAGTGGTCTGACACCTTCACTTACATACTCTCCATAGGTCTCCTGTGTTGGAGGTGGCGGTGGAGGTCTGTACCCCGTTGGGGGAACACCTCTTGCTCTCGGAGTGAGAAGTCCTCTTCCTCGACTCACTGGCCCTCGGGTGGAAAGGACTCCCCTGGCAGCTGGTGTCCCTCGGGGGACACCAACTCCAACTGGCCGGGCTGTGACTCCTCCTCTCCCCCTGTAAACAAGTGCGTCAAGTTAGCAATATTTACCACATTTCTAATGTTCCTTCCATATTACTTATACTTCACAGAAATCAATGTTCTGTATTTCTGCAATAAGGAATAAGAACTAAGGATGCAAAAGAAGAATTGAAGCAAGTAAGAATTAGGTATATACCAAAAGGAAGTTAGCCATTTAGGTAGTTAGTTCAGTAACAATGAATAAGGTAACATCGAAGAAACCCAGACTCAATTTCTCGCTAAAATGTAGGCTGGCAGCTATGAAATCTGGGGAGCTGCAAGTGCTGAAGACTCCTATGTGATACCACACCAGGATAACACCTGAATGGAATCTGCTGCTCATATTCTTTTTTTTGGACAGGCAGAGTTAGAGAGAGAGAGACAGAAAGGTCTTCCTTTTCCCGTTGGTTCACCCCCCCAGTGGCCGCTGCAGCTGGTGCACAGCGCTGATCCGAAGCCAGAAGCCAGGTGCTTCCTCCTGGTCTCCCATGCGGGTGCAGGGCCCAAGCACTTGGGCCATCCTTCACTGCCTTCCTGGGCCACAGCAGAGAGCTGGACTGGAAGAAGAGCAACTGGGACTAGAACCCAGAGTTTTAAAATTTGACAGATAGAGTTAGCCGAAGCTATGCTGATCCAAAGCCAGGAGCCAGGTGCTTCCTCCTGGTCTCCCATGCAGGTGGCAGGGCCCAAGCAATTGGGCCATCCTCCACTGCCTTCCTGGGCCACAGCAGAGAGCTGGACTGGAAGAGGATCAGCTGGGACTAGAACCAATGCCCATATGGGATGCCAGCACTTCAGGCCTGGGCTTTAACCCACTGCACCACAGTGCTGGCTTCATGATTTCAAAAGAAAAGTGATTTAATCTTATGTGATAAGTTGTGTGTGTATATATGTACATTTATCAGACATCTAACACTTTCTTGTGTGCTAACCTTATATATGTATGCTTATATGTAACTTTAAAAAGAACTTTTATTTACATATACAGATACACTGGTATCTATCTGCTATCTGTATACAGCCGTGCATTGCTAACAGAAGGGGTACATTTTGAGAAATACAACATTTGTGTGAACATCAGAGTGTACAACAACCTAGAGAGTACAGATTACTATACATCTAATGGACCCAACTGTGCTATACTTTACATGACTGGCAGCGTGAGTCCGTTCACACCAGCAACACCATAAATAGATCATTGTGCACTGACAGCAATAGGTGATAGGAATTTTTCAGTTTGATTACAGTCTTATGGGACCACCATCTGCTAAACGATCTAATGTGCACAGTAGCATCGTTACATGGTAAATGACTCTGTCTACCTATCACTAAAAAGAAGGCCATGTCAGTGGCTGGTGCTGTGGGACAGTGGGTTAAGCCACAGCCTGCATAACTGGCATTCCATATGGGTGCTGGTTCAAGTCCCAGCTGCTCCTCTTCTGATCCAGCTCCCTGCTAATACGTCTGGAAAGCAGTGGAAGATGGCCCAAATCCTTGGGTCCCTCTACCCACATGGGAGACTTGGATGAAGCTCCCTGATCCTGGCTTTGGCCTGGCCCAACCTTGGTCATTGCAGCCATTTGGGGAGTGAACCAGTGGATGGAAGATTTCTCTCTCTCTTTCTCTCCTTTCTCTCTCTGTAAGTCTGCCTTTCAAATAAATAAGTAAATTTTTTTTTAAGTAATCATTAATCCAGGGAGAAATAAAATCTTTGTTCTTGGACCAGCTGAGGGACTTTCAAATGTCATAGAGTGTTTGCAGTGAATAAAATTACAGGCATTTGGATATCCACTAGGTGCTTAATGCTGTGCTTAGCAATGGTGGTATAACAATGAACTAGCCAGATGTCCACAAAGAGAAAACAGGGGAGACCATTACTTCAAACCACTTATCAATGAATGTTATTATTTACATAAAACAAGCCTCATTTTAAAGAATTAATGTTAAATGAATAATAGTTTGTCTAAAGTTATGAATTAATAAGTGGTACAGGTTATAGTTAACCTTGGGAATATCTCAATCCAATGTAAATTCCCTTAATATGACATTACATTGTCTGAAAACTAGATTTGTACAAATGAACCTATCTACCTTATTCTGGCTACTAACTAAAGAAACACTAAACCTGTTGCTTTGGTATCCTAACCTAAATATAAAAAGTAAGTCAATAACTTACACCCACCTGGTGATTGCAGGGGTTGGTACACTTCTGGTACGCAAGGTAGGTTTCCCTCGAACCACTGGAACATCTGCATTTTCTGAACCACCATTCAAATATGTTAACTCCTGGAGCTGTGCTTGCCTGATCTCATCATTATAGTCCTATACAGAAGACAGAAGACAGAATACTTTGCTTCATACTAAAACTATAAAAGTATCTACAACAAAAAACAATCATTTTTTTTGAGGGGGAAAGTATGGTTATCTTCTTAGAATTGTATCTATTAAATACATTAAATGAAATCTGTTGTCTTTATAATAATTTTTTTAAAAAATGATCAGAAAATACTTGAATTCACAAAGCAACCTATGAATTTACTAAAACAGAAATGTTCTGTTTCATAACCCTGTTAAAATGCTTTCACTAATATACACTTAGAAATGGTTAAAAAATTAGAAAGTACAAATTTAATGATAATATTGTTAAATAGAAAAAAGAAAACCAGTATTTTCTCCCAAGGTAAAATTTTCCATAATGAGTTGTAACTCCTTCCCCTGGGCATGCTTTCCATGACAAGTATTTACATTGAAATTAAAATGGCATATAACAAAATTATTTACAACTAAATTCAGAAAGTAGCTACTAAGCATCTATGATGCATCAAGTACTAGAAAGCCAAATGAGTGAACCAGGGTCCCAGCAGCCAGGGAACTCAATCTATCATAGGAACATTATTAAAATTAAGAACTACAAGTGGCCAGCACCGTGGTTCAGTTGGCTAATCCTCCGCCTGCAGCGCAGGCACCCTGAGTTCTAGTCCTGGTTGCTCCTCTTCCAGTCCAGCTCTCTGCTGTGGCACAGGAAGGCAGTGGAGGATGGCCCAAGTGCTTGGGCCCTGCACCCGCCTGGGAGACCAGGAGGAAGCACCTGGCTCCTGGCTTCGAATTGGTGCAGGGTGCCAGCCGTAGTAGCCACTTGGGGTGTGAATCAATGGAAGGAAGACCTTTCTCTCTGTCTCTCCCTCTCACTGTCTAACTCTGCCTGTCAATGAAAAAAAAAAAAAAAAAACTACAAATATACATTCCTTTGGTAGATTCCCATTTGGCTACTATACAAGTTGTGAAATTCAACATTTTGAAAACTGAACATAATCTTATTCCTCAGCATTGCCTTTCTTTTCACCTTGCATTACCATCCAAATATTCAACTCAGAAACATCGCTGTTATCTCTAAGTCTTCCATCCTCTTTATCATCCTCAACACCATTCAGTGAGCATCAGCAAAGACATGGAGGTGTAAATAAAGTCTGATCTGTTTTACAATAACAGGAAAATTCATGTTTCAGTGATCAAAAAGGAAAATCCAGTAGGTTTTCTATAAGAAGTGACATCTGAGTGAGAAGTAATTAACCAGAAGAGTGGTAGAATGGCAAAAGGAAAAACAAATTTTAATACTAAAAATAGCGGCCAGCGCTGTGGCCAGCTGGATTATGCCATTGTCTGCAGCACTGGCATCCTATACGGGCATCGGGCCAAGTCCAGGCTGCTCCACTTCCAATCCAGCTCCCTGCTAATGTACCTGGAAAGCAGAGTAAGATGGCTTAAGTAGTTGGGACCCTACAGTCATGTGGGCAACTCGGATGAAGCTCGTACCTCCTGACTGTAGCCTGGCCCCACCTTGGCTGTTATGGCGAAATTATGAAAGCAATTTGGCATGTGAGTGGGAGCAGGATTAGGGGTAACCAGAGGCCAACTCATGAAAAACGTTATCTTATTAATGATAGCTTGAAATGCTGAAAATAAAAGGTTCTGAGAAGCCCCTAATAATTCTAAGGCGATCTGCCTATTTAGGTTTACATCCTAGAAATATCATTCTACGTTTAGTGAAAAAAATAGGATAGGACCGAAAACAGAGATTGAAAAAACACTACACCTAGGGCAGGTGTTGTGGTATAGTAGGTTAAGCCCCTGCTTGGTATGCCCACATCGCTTATCAAAGTGCCTGAGATAAAGTCCTGTCTCGGTTTCCAATCCAGTTTCCTATTAATGTGCCTGGGAGGCAGAAGATGATGGCCCTAGTATTTCTGCCAGCCACAAGGGAGATTCAGTGTCACTCTATTCTTCTAATCAATAAACATTTTTTTTTTAAAAAAAAGTACATTCAAAAACACATACGCTTCTCAAGTGTATATGGAATAATCCCAAGGATAGACTCTGTGTCAGTTCATCACACAAGCCTTGATAATTTTACAGGAATTGAAGTTAAAGTGTATCTTCTGATTACAGTGGAATAAATGAGAAATTCATTAAGGAAACAAAATTTGGAAATTCAAAAATATGTAACAGGGAAATCATATAACAAAATAACCATTAGGTCAAAACAGAAACAACAAGAAAACTTTGAAATTAATGTGAGATGAGTGAAAAGACAAAAACAACACACCAAAATTTATAGGCTACATCTAAAGCATTGTTCAGAAGAAAGTTTATAGTTCTACATGCCTATCTTTAAAAAATCAAAGATTTCAAACCAATAACCCAATTTTTAAATTCAGAGAGAAATAGAAAAGAAAAAAGGTTAAACACAAGAAATAGAGAAAAAAATTAAAATCACAGGAGAAATATATATAAAGGCCAAAAAAAAACAGAAAAATAATTAAAAGGTGTTTGTTTAGAAGAGTAACAAAATGAGGGCTGATCAAGTCACCGTTTCTTATAGTGTTCATTTCACTTTAACAGGTTTCCTTTTTGGTGCTGTTAGTTGTCACCTATCAGGGAGAACAAGTGGTATGTGTCCCTTTGGGATTGGCTTATTTCACTCAGCATACTTGATCAGCTCTCACCCTGACTGCTGATGAGCAACTTGATACGTTATCCCTCTTAGTATTTTTTGTTTGTTTGTTCTACTTAATACTTTTGGTTGAATACTGTAATCAATACACAATTCTTCTTAAGTGCTGAAACTTAACTGAAAAGTGATCACTGTTAAATATGAGTGGGAATAAGAGAGGGAAGAGATGTGCAATTTGGGACATGCTCAAGCTGACTTACCTCAAACGGTAGAGTTAGAAACATACCAGGGGATTCCAATTCAATCCCATCAAGGGGCATGTACCAATGCCATCTCACTAGTCCCAGTGATCAATTTCTGTTCACAACTGATCATAATGATAAGACTAAGAACCAAAGGGATCACATAAACAAGAATAGTGTCTGCAAATACTAGCTGATAGAATAAAAAAGGGAGAGAATGATCCAACATGGGAAGTGAGATACACAGCAGACCCATAGAATGGCAGATGTCGTAAACAGCACTCTGGCCTCAGAATCAGCCCTTAAGGCATGCGGATCTGGCTAAAAAGCCCATGAGAGTATTTCAGGCATGGAAAGCCAAGACACTCTGGGGAAAAAAAACCAAAAAACAAAAAAACAAAACCTAAATGAAAGATCTCTGCGAGTGAGATCCCAGTGGAAAGAATGGGTCATCAAAGAAGGAGGTACCTTCCTCTGAAGGGAGGAGAGAACTTCCACTTTGACCATGGCCTTGTCTAAATATGATCAGAGTCAGTGAACTCAGGGGGCTTCCATAGCCTTGGCAGCTCATGACAAGAGCCTAGGATGATTACTGACGCCATCAACAAGAGTGTCAATTGTTAAGTCAACAACAGGAGTCACTCTGCACTTACTCCTCATGTAGGATCTTTGGCCTTAGTGTGCTGTACACTGAGATTTAATGCTACAACTAGTACTCAAACAGTATTTTTCACTTTGTGTTTCTGTGTGGGAGCAAACTGTTGAAATCTTTACTTAATGTATGCTAAACTGATCTTCTGTATATAAAGAGAATTGAAAATGAATCTTGATGTGAATGGAAGGGGAGAGGGAGTGGGAAAGGGGAGGGTTGCGGGTTGGAGGGACGTTATAGGGGGGAAGCCATTGTAATCCATAAGCTGTACTTTGGAAATTTATATTCATTAAATAAAAGTTTGAAAGAAAAAAAAAGAAGATTAACAAAATGCATAGATTCTTAGTTAGACTGACCAGGAAGAAAAAAGCCTCAAGATTATTAAAATCAGGAATAAAAATGGAGCATCACCTGGACTTGAATTAAAAAAACGCTTATAAAGAAATACTATGAACACGACATGCCAATAAATTAGGTAAAATTAGATGATGGATAAACTCCTAAAAAGACAGAAACTACCAAAACTGAACAGACAGCAGTACATGTAACATAATAGGAAACACAGAGTTGGTATTTACCACAGAGTTCTTGGGAGTTTCAGGACTGACAGAGGAGACAGGCTGTGATTCATAGTAAGCCCATTTCACCCAAACACAAGTTTATGAGAGTAATGTGACTTTTGAAGGGTGCAGTCTGGTTGTGAGACAGATCACAACATGACTGTTGGACTACAACTTTCAGCCCCAAGCCACTACAATCTCTGGATAGGGAAGAGGGTTGGAGATTGGCTTAAAAAACCAAAGGCCAATGATTCCATCAACAAAAACTTCACAATGAAGCCTCCATAAAAACCCTGAATGGTAAAATCTGGAGAGTTTGAGTTGGTAAGGATCCAAATGCAGCGGCGAAGAGCACTCCAATTCTGCAAGGATCTAAGCTCCATGCTTGGGACTGTCCCAGATCTCTTCCTATTCCCTCTTCTCCTGGCTATTCATCTTCACCTATTAAGTACACTGTTTCCATGAGTTACATAAATCATTATAGCAATTATCAAACTTGAAGAGGGAGTTAGGTAACACATAACTTGAAGTCCACTTGGTCGAAAGCACAGGAAACCTGGGACTTGCAACTGGCGCCTCAGCAGTCTTGTGGGACTGAATCCTTAACCTGTGAGATCTGATGGTAATTCCAAACAGTGAGTGTCAGAAATTTAACAAATGTAGGATAGCCAACTGGTGTCTGCAGAGTCAGAGAACTGGTAGGCTGGAATTTAAAAAAAAAAAAAAAAAAAAAAAAAAAAAGAAAGAAAGAAAGAAAGAAAAACCTCACACATTTGGTAGAAGTATTGTGTGTAGACAAAGCTTTTCTTTAACAAGAGACTAAATTAGTACCCCAAATTTTCCTTCCTCCTCCAAAATAGTCCACTGCCCACATGATTTCACATGATCTCAATGATGAATTGAACTGTATATACTTG